AAAAAAATCTTGAGAAATCTACAATCGACTTTGATTAAAGGTTCGCGTTTCCATGGATAAAATTTTTACCAAAACAGCAGAAAGCATGCAATATTTTATCACAAAATTAAAAAAAAAATTCGTACCTACTAATAATTCAGTACATTAGGATCAATTAAATAAATAAATCACATTAAGAAGCAAAAATTCTAAATATACCGGGTGTTCAAATTAAAGTGTTACAGTTAAATACCGCCGAAAATATGTATCTTAGAAAAAAAGTTTCAGACAAAAGTTTTATAGTTTTTTGGGGGAAACATTTTGGCTAATTTAATTTTTTTGTAGCTGACCATATTATGGCCATATCGAGATGGACTTTGTTTATTAAATTGGAACCCCATTATTTTTTTTTCATATTCTTAAAGTACATAAAAAAATAAGAAACTTTTGATGGAAATATTTTTTTTGTTCGACTTTTACTTTTTGAGTAACAGCTACTTGAAAATTTTGCTGGACGAAAAAAAAGTTGACCATATTATGGTTAGCTATAAAAAACGATTTTAGCCAATACTTTTTCCCCATGAAACTATAATACTTTCGTCTGATACGTTTCTTTTATAATAGGCGGTCTTTAGCTGTAACACTTTAATTTGAACACCCGGTATATTTTAGTTCTTTGAAATCCCTTGTTTCAGCGGATAAACATTATTCTATCAAAACAGCAAAAATAATATTTAGCACTTAATTTTAAATAGGTACAATTTTTTTTTTAGAAATAATTCAGAACATTACTGTCAATTTCATAAATAAAAAAAAAAAATAGGAATAAATATTTTACTTGTAATTTTTAGCTATTGCATTCAGGTAGAATTTTCATGAACTATTTTGATAAACACTTAAAACCTAATTTAAAAGAAATACTCTCTTAAAACTATAATCTATGTATTTATAAAGATTATTTACATATGTCCATAAATACATATTGATTACCTACCTGTTTAGAATTCTATTTTTGTTCTGATATAGAAAATAGGATTAAAACAATTCCAGGAAATAGGATATAAATTGTTTATTTATAAATAAGGGATTGATTGATTCATTGGAAATACCAACAGTTTACACATTGAGGCAGATAGTTTTGAACATGGATTTTAAAAGAATATTTACATTATTATTTTCTTTGAGTTTTATAGTGTGACGCCTCTTAGTTTTATGTAAAAAAAATATTTACTATTTATCTATTCGACACAAAAATAACTCATTTTAATGTATATTTAATCTCAATAATTGAATATACTGACGATTAGTTTGACACAATTGTCACTTATTTAACATTTTAAAAAGAATTGTATTGGGTGACCAAAATATGAACTACCTAGAATAGATATGAAATATATCCGTTTAAATGAATGCAATAGCATACTTTTTCGTTTTGTATTCTGTACGTAGATAAGCTAATATCCATGTGAACTAAAAAAAATTATTGTTTGATCTAAGAACAAACCCTGGATATTTAGAACCAGTGACTTTTATAAATTAGCGACAGCAAATTTTATAGAAATAGTATTATTTTATTTATTATCGTATATTTTTTAATTAGCTTCAATTTTTTTATTTAGATAACTTTTGTACGGCCCGATTGTACTGGTGCATATTAGAAATATATACAAATTTCTATCATCTGTAAAAAAAGATGCCTTTAAAAGTCTTCTAAATTTATATATCGTTAATGAATTAAAAACTCAACGAATTTTGCAGAAAACATATTTGTACTACTGCTCAATATATCTATATTAAAATACAAAAATTTTTACGGGGTTAAAAAAACATATATTTTTAAATAATTTAATTTATCCCGTTCCTGGGGTACGCCAATGCAATTTATTTAAACTCCGCTGCGACTAACAAACGTGTACGGCCTTCAGTCCTGCAGTATATCCCCTCCCTTACCTCACACATCACGTCTTTCCTCTCCTGATCCCCAAATTGACTAATTTGATGTTGGCATCATAGTTATTCTATTTTATGAATGAGTAGTTATATCTCCCTTGTTATCTCTGGTTAAAACTGTATAGTGTTGCATAATATAATAAAGGATTAATATTCATATCAGAAAATAGCTTGTTTATAATTACCAGAATTGGAGAGAAACAAAATCCACTAGGCATATCGAAGAAAAGTGTAAAATACAAATACCTACGTGTTGAAATTGTGGATTAAAAACCCGGTTTCATCAACATCTTAATCGAGAAGAATATCATACCATAGACATAAGAAGAAAAACACCAACATAATGCAGGGAAGTTACATTAATTCCAGCCTACAGTGAACCACCGCCTATACCAAATATACCATATATACCATATATATATACCATATATTACTGCATATTTGATCTAAATTTAGTTTCAAAAAAGCATCACCAGTTTTTGTTTATCTATGATAAGAACCGCAGATAATTATGAAGATCATGAATCTAATTAGTGTATTCTATAGGCATCTGTATTTTTAGTTCAATTAAGCATAATTCACTTTTTATATATGAGTTTATTATTTCCTCGATGAATTTGAATTAAATCCATGATACCAGATACATATATACATTTTATACGATAGTAGACAAGCATACTGGGTGTTCCAAAAGAAGCTTATAAAATTAATACAAGTATTAAAAGTAATTTTAAAAAACCGATTTCAAAATCGTGCAAATGCTGTCACCAGATCTTAACCAAATTTTTATGGAACCACTCCTGAGGTACCTACCCCCCTATTAACAAAAAAATAATCATGGAAATTAGACAAGGTGGTACAGAATTACCTTAAAAATGAAGAGTTTGAAGATTTTCTAATCGACTTAATTATTAGATTTTGACAAAATTAATATGGGACCACCCCTGAAGTACCCTCTTTCTAACAAAAAAAGAATCATTGAAATCAAATACCGTGTTAAAAAATTATCGCTGAAAATATATAAAAAAAAATATTGAGAACCCCCTTATTATTTATTATATTTCTTATTTTTTGTTTTTTTATCATAATAAAGGTTTAACTTCTGCATCTAATGTCTTCATTCCTATTTTATACAATAAAAAGCATTCAGGACATTTACCTAATTAAAAAAAAGTAAAATTCTGAATTAGAAAAAGGAATAACGAAAATCATAAGCTAACGATTACCTTAATTGGACCAACAAATATTAGCTTACCCTAAATTATAAATTGTTTACCTTGATAATAAATAAACAATATTATTAATATTCATGAGGTAATAACAAGGGAATTGTTTTATTTGGCACGTTTAGTAGCCAAATTAATTGCAGGCGCAGAACAATAACCAAATAATTGTAGCCGTGCCGTCCTAATTTTCATTTTCAAGTGAAATTAATAGTTCCACTTGATTTTCATCGAGACTAACAAGCATTGCTGATGATTTATCATATCACGTGCGTACATAATTGCTCTAGGGTGGAATAAATTTAAAAATTCAAATGATTGGTAGTAATTACTTTTAATGCAGGTTTTTAGTACAGTGCGTCAGTAAATTAGGTGAAAATTATGAATAATATTATGGTCTTACGACCATAGTCATCATTCATTTCTTAATTACTAACAGTTTGTCAAGTATGTAACATTTGTAACATTACTATTAATAAAGGTTTATTATACGCCAAATCAAAAAAAGTATCATGTTTTGTAAGATAACAGAGTGTGTCAATGAAGCTTTTGTTGCCATTAAAGATTATGAACATACTAAATTTTAATGTATTATCTCCATCTTCATTATCGCCATCAGAAAGTAAATATAAAATTCCCAGAAAAAGGGTAATAGACTCAAGAAATATTTTAATTGATGATTTATACGGCGTTGAATTTGAATTAAGATATTTAGTTTAAATAACACAGTAAGAACTTAAACAAATTTATTTATATTGACGAGACAGTGAGCAATATCAAAAATAAACTAAATTTTAACAACGCTGGGACTTTATGCTACTAGATCTTTTTAATCAAGTCTCAGGGATATTTTTTCAGTTTAACAATAGAAATTGTTATGCATTGTTTATAAAATTTTAAGAAGTATAGCTAGGCTTCCACTTGAGTGTAACATCCTAAACCATAATATGATGGTTGGTTACAACACAAATTAAACACATCTAATTGTATATGATGTTTTTTTATTCATTTTAAAGTCCCAACAGGTAAAACCCCAATCGTGTATTCTGCCGGCTTATCAAGGCATCTTTTTATGTATATAAAGAATTATACCGAGGCCCAAACAAACCGGCTTACAAAATAAATTAATATATATCACACCGAGTTTATTTGGATTTCAGACACAGAAGATTAAAAAATAACAACTGTTTCATCTGTTTATCGTGTAGCTGGATTTCCTGGAGTAAAATCGTAAACTGCACACACTTCAAAACCTTTTCCTCAGGAGGTAACAATGCAAAAGTCTCCAGAAATAGGAAAGTCTGGATCAGTATCAAAGTAGTTGGTAATGCAAACTTAGAAATTTTAGGTATGATTTCCCGATGGCCAGGCTCTGTAAATAAAACAACAATATTTGACGACTCCTTAACCTGGGCATGCATTGAAAATAGTGAATTTTATCCTTGCTGGAGATGGCGGATATCCATGTAGAGTATATATAATAACTGCTAATTGTTCTTTCAATGTAAAAAGCTTAGTATCTGTAACAATTATATTCAATTACGGGACAACCCTTTCCGATTGGTCAAATAATTTTTTGATATCAGCAGCTGATTTGGGAACAAAATTTATATAACTGTTGAAATATTTATTAAATTTTTCTTTTCCTTATATTCAACTTGCTATTTTCAAGAAACAACTTTTTAAATTTATTATTTTAAGGACCTTAACTTCCTAATTATGCGGATCTGTAATTATTACTATTACCCCTGCAATTTTTTCATACCATTTCAATGATACCCTATAACTTTACATTATATTTTAAACGCATTTTTATATCTATTAATTTTAACTTCTTTTTGTTTTCAGAAATACTATGCTTGAAAGATGTACAACTAGACATTCAGCCAAATGTAGTAGAGTACGGTGGATCGACTACCTTAATATGCACTTATAATCTACAGGGTGAACCATTATACACGGTGAAATACTACCGTGGTATCCACGAGTTTTATAGATATACCCCAAAAGAACATCCAAGTACCAAGAAATTTCCGTTCGACGGAGTTCATGTTGACGTGAGTATTTTTTATATATTTCTTTGAATACGTCCTATTCTTCTTTATACACAATATAATTAAATCCTACATTAACTTTCACATACGATCTCTAAATGTAGCATTAAGTTACAGATCAGTAAACTGTAATGAATATCTAATATAGTTAAATGTGTTAATAGTAGACAGTAAAAAAAATTCAGGAATGCTGACATCTGTCACGTCTACAAAATTTTTTGATATTTTCGGAGCAGAATAAACATAGGTATGCAATTTAATTTAATGGAAAAAATATTTTAAAATTTAGAGATTGATTGACTTATCTATAAGGAGAATCAATCCTAATTTGTTCAGCTTATCCTCCGGGTATAATTCTCACTTTGTAGTATCGCGTTAGTCATACATCTCGATACATTTTAAAGATTATGCAAATCAAACTGGTCCCTTACCCTGACTCATACATTCATTTCGTTTTTTAATTGATTAAAAATAGAACGCTAAGGGCAAAGCATGTTTGGGGTGTGGAACGAATTATACCGGAGGACAAGCTCAACAAATTAGGATTGATTCTCCTTATAGGTAAGTCAATCAATCTATAAATTTGTTTTCGCTTATCCTCCGGTATAATTCTTACTTTGTAGGCTGTTTAAAGAATGAGCGGTCTATTTTGCCAATTATAATATTTATTTAAACACAATAAACCGACTATTCAACTTAAGGAGGTCCTTTCGCCACCAATGTTAAATAAAAAATATTAGATTATGACTAAAATTAATTTTTTTCTAATAGTAGAAGTCCTTATTTATCTAATAGTGAACTTTCAACTATACCTTACCGTGCAAATTTTTAAGAATTTTTTTTTTAAATGTGTGTGTTTGTACAGTGTCTTACGAGAAAGTAAGACTTCAACAACAATTTTCGAATTATAATTAATTTTACTATTATTTATTGATTAGATGGAGTAGTAAAAAAACTAAAAATAAGGTTTTTAAAATATTTAGGTTTTGTTTTTTACAATAAAATATATAGGTTACCGTGGAATTTTTTGAGAAATTAATATTAAAAAATCACAAAAAATTTTCAACTAGGATACTTCAAATTTTTTTTATTATTAATTTCTCAATAAATTCCAAGGTAACCTATATATTTTATTGTAAAAAACAAAACCTAAATATTTCAAAAACCCTATTTTTAGTTTTTTTCTACTCCATCTAATCAATAAATAATAATATAATTCGAGAATTGTTGTTGAGGTCTTATTTTCTCATAAGACACTGCACAAATACTCACATTTTTAAAAAAAGAAATTCTCAAAAATTTGCACGGTAAGGTATAGTTAAAAGTTCAACATTAGATAAATAAGGACTTCAACTATTAGAAAAAAAATAAATTTTAGTCATAATCTAATATTTTTTATTTAACATTGGTGGCGAAAGGGGTGGCGAAAGGACCTCCTTAAGTTGTCTCCATAATGTATTTTGCCAAACACAAATCATTTTACAAATAACAGAATTTCGAAATAAAAACTCTTTAAAAATAGTCACGCTTAACATAAACATTTAAACAAACCAAAAATATAATATTTTAAACAAAATTTTAATTTGCCCTGCGATAAATTCATAAATATCTTGTTTTGTGGGGTTTGACCAACTTCACTGACACAGGGATCGTATATTTATTATTTATCCCAGTTATAAACTAGAATAGTCTTTTGAGATGATAGTAAAAGTAATAATAGTTCAATATCTAATACATATTTGACATATTTATCTTTATGACACCGTACTAAGTTTAGTAAGTCGATTTTTTAAATTGGTTCATTAATTTTATTATTTTTCTTAGTAAGCCATTCTACAATCTGGGCTTTTTTCCATTTGGTGGTTGGTAACTATTCTACACACCGGCTGTGGTATGGAGCGTTATCCATAACAATAACAGATCCTGGTTTGATTTTTAAAAGAATATCTGAAAACCATTTTTCATAATGTTCTGCATCCATTTCCTCATAATAATCTCCAGTCTTTTTAGAAACAAATGCGTTTAAACCTTCTTTAGCAAATCCTGAGTCACTACCAATATGGCTAGTAATAAGGCGTTTTCCTTTTCCAGATGGGGCTTTTAAACCTGTCGATAAATCATCTACAAAAGCTTGATGTTTGTTTTTTACATTTAAATCCTGCCAAATTTTTGTCACAGTATGTCCTTCATTTAACCAGGTTTCATCTATATAATACATTTTTCTGCTATTGTTTTCAGATATTTTCTGTGCCATAAAATGATTTCTTTTTTTTTTAATAAGGGTACTATTCCTCTTTCTCTTTAAATACCTGAAGTTCATTTCACACAAAGTACGTAATAAAGCACGTCTTGATATTTTGGGGAGATTTTCATTAATTGATGAGAGGAAGCAATTTTAGTAATTCCTTTTTAATATAAAATGCATATACTGCACGACGAGTGAATTGTTTGGTTATATCTTCTAATTTGATTTTTTTTTTCTTTCTCTAGTCTTAGCCTTCGAAGTATTAATATCTTTTGTTTCATCCCTTGTTTATAAACGTGAAATAGCCTTCCACTAATATTAGAGAGATCACGTTATACTTAACCTCTCTATTATAAACAATTCCGGTTTCTGCTTTATGAAATCCCTATCAGCGCGCCTATGACACAGCTTCGACAATAACATCAAAGAAAATTTTAAAGACATTGTTTCCAATAACGTCGCTTTATTCTGCGACGACAGTGTGGCTCTCGGACGTTATCTACCGTTAGATAAAGATGCAAACTACACGCTGAGAACGTTTGATTTTACCTAAACTTCTAATCGCCTGGAAGACGTTTGAACAGTTTAAACATAGACCAGTCTAATTAATAAAATTATTTCAACAAAATGATATCTGTTCTAGAGGTAAATAATAAACAAATGATTTAGTTATTTAAAAAAATTATAAAGATAGCCATCTTCTTAATTTTTTTGGAACTATCTGAACGTTTAGTATTTGAACAGTGAGTAGAAGAAAAATATTTTAGTAGAAGAAGAAGGTTCTTGTAAATTTGTAAGAGATTAAATAAATTTTGCAACACCCCACTAATTTGTATATTAATTAATACTGAATATTTCTCCTTTAGTCGGTATTCAAAAAATCAAAAACTATTAAAAATAACTTTTTTTGTACAGTATAAACGTCTAATCTGATTGGCCTATAAAATTTCTTTATAACATGGGTCACTATCTACAATTGTGGAATTCTACTATAAAGTACGCATTTAAAGATTTTGTAACAAAATCAATATCACCTAAAATTCTTAAGTCTGTTTTAGTTCTGTTATTAGCCATACATGTACTGAATCGTGTTTTTATTCTCAGGTGGATACGTCAAATGAACACCAGGTGGTGTTAAAGGATATCGGTTTCAGTCTCTCGGGGAAATTTAGCTGTGAAGTTACCACCGACGGATCCCATTTCTCCACTCGCACTGTTACGAAGGAGATGCTTGTAGTCGGTGAGTATCACATTGTTAATTAAACTACAATTGATTTACTTAACATCTTGTCTCCACTGTCAAATCAATCCTGCATCGGTAGAATAGTACAGTATAATCGAAATTTTTTATCTATATTTATTAAGAAAAAAGGGATTACCTATCTTTAATGTGGTCCGTTGTGTAGTAAGAAAAAAGTTTAAAATCAGATTGGCGTGACTGGTCTGTTCAGATTTAAAAAAAAGGCCCTCATCTTATAATTCTAGAAACCAAGTTCTTCTATTCAGCTACTAAAAGAAAAGGTCATCAGCAAATAATGAACCAGGTTCTTCTATCGAGCTCCTAAAAAGGCAGTTAATGTCTAAATGCAATTTTGTTACTGTTTGACGTAGGCGGGCCAGACTGGAAAGAGGACAAAGGGCCTCGAAAACGACAATGACAGGCCGTATGTTGTGCAGGCCTGATGTAGAGAGTAAGAAATAAATATAACAATAACGGTTTATTTATATAAATAGAGTTTCTTAAAAGGAAAAAAACATGAGATACTGAATAAGTTTAGGACTCCCGAGGTCACTCAAATCCAGTCTTGAGCATGAGCTTTTAAAAGTCGGAATATCAGCAAGATCACGTGGTTGACTGTATACGTTGGCAAGGGGAGGAGAAATAAAAAAGTGGACCAAACTGCCTGATGATTTACTAGGGAGGAATAGCAAACGCTCTCGTGAAGAAAGGTGAAAAAAGACGGGTCATCAAAACATGTTTGATGTGAAATTCATCTAGATAAAGTGAGAATTTCACCAATTCTACAAAAAGTAACCCAGTTTGTTTCAATCTTTTATTACATATATAAAAATATCTAAATTTTTAAAACAATAAAAAATACAAAATATTCAACGGGTCTTCCCCCACGATGAATGTCCTACTGAGCGATGAATGTCCTACTGCGCTCTAGTGTCCTATTGGACATATATGCCTATGTTCTGAGGGGTATTTCTATTGCTGAATTTCTTTTGCGGCTACTGTGTTTTGGTTCTTGTCGATTTGATATTATCAAAACAGTATGTTGATTATGGGGATATCGTTATTGGTAAGTGTTGAGATTTTCTTTAAATTTAATTTTGTCGTATTCACTGAAAAATCGTCCTTTAAAACAGGGTTGTCCTTTGTCTGTGCGTGTGTTATCATTCTGTGTGTCGATTTTTACTCTTACTGTTAAAAATCTTTATTATACTATCTACAATTGATATTTTATATCGATAATAACAAAAATATATTGATAAAGAAGCCTTCGTCGAGCTCACCGCACTGTAGTCTCCTAACAGATATTCGGCCCCTCTAAATATTTTGGATGTTAGTCTTCTTCAAGCAGAGTCAACTTAACAGGTTATTATCATTTGACTGTTATCGTTTTCTATGAATGCGCGTTGTATGAACTTATTAATTGCTATGTCTGATTTAAATTATGTTTATTTTCGCTTACAAGGCTATTGAGAAATAGGCTTCTAAAGCGTGAGTTTGTACGTTACATTATTTAGTATTTTGTATACACTATTCGTGTTCTGAGCTGACTTGCTGGCCATCAGCTTCGGGATCTTCCAATTGCAGGTTATTGAGTTGATGCCCCGCTCAGACGACCAGAGTTGTAGACCTTGGCTACCTTTAAGCAGTTTAATGTAGTATCATAACATGTTATAATTGTTGATGTTATTGTGCTTTATTTTCGTGCCGTCAGCGTTTATACATTATCAAGTTTTTATGGAGCCAGACTGCATAATGTTGTAGAATTTCTCGGACATAGCGAGAATGTGTTGCTTAGTAGGAATGATGTTTGTTCTTTCATGTAAGTCCTATAATCTGGTGTATTTTGTACATCCGACGATTAGCCTTTTAAACCCCTGGTTTGGACGATTTTTAGTTTTTTATATGTATCCTAGGCATGGAACAGTAGACTGAACACCTATACGTTAATATAGACCTCAGCTCTTGTTTATTAAGCAGCTGTTTATTACTCTAAGACACTTTTCTATTGCAACTCAACATGGGATAAAGTAGTTTTATGATGACTGTTGTCTTGACAACCCAATATGCCTTTTAAACGTTAATTTCCTAACTTTATGAAACCACAAATATTTAATAGTAGTCGTTGATTCAGACTTTTGATTATTTACCTTAAGTTTGCCCTTTATTCAATTCGTTTGGAACGAGAGAGTTTTTTGTTTTCTTTGGAACGAGAGGGTTTTTTGTTTTCGCATTGTTTAGTTTGGTCGAGATAGGAGATCAATGTTCTACTGTCAGGGATGTCCAGTCTCCTAGTGGCGTCTTCTGCCGATTTAGATGCTTTGTTCACCTAGGTATCGTCAGCGTACCGCGCCTTTTATATTCTATTTTTACCTAGCCGCAAGTCGTGTCAATTTTCGTCTAACTCAGTGACGTTATGATCTAGTATTCCATCCGATCAAAAATCACGGGAACCCTTGATTTCTGTTCGGAAGGTTCACCATTTTACCTTTTAAACGTTAACCTCCTATCCAGATGAATACGTAGATACTTGATACTAGGATTGATCTCCGCCCTTCTCATATCCAACCTTGAGGTTGGTAATAATAGGGTCATCCCATCTCTGTGAAAATAAGATGGTTTTAGTCTTACTCGTACTCAGTCTCATTTTATTTTCATCTAGATAAGGATTAACGATCTTTTGATACATATCTCCAGCCTTCTGTTAGGGATTTTCGCGAAATTAGAACTGTTAAGACTAGTACAGATCTAAGGACGTGAAGCAAGTCGAGGCTGAATCAAATGCTTTGTATGGCGCATTTTCAATACAGCAATAGTGTACGCAAGTGAATTCTTGAACATACCAAAAATACTTGTAAAGTTAAAACAAAAATGGAGGATGAAGATGACATCCTGGAGTTGAGTGCCTGTTTTATTACTTTATCTGACGCATTGAAGAAAAGAAGGAGAAGGAATCGTAGGCCGATTATGTACCAAGCGCCTTCTTTATTTATTTTTCTGCTCTCCATAAGATATCTTGCTGATTATGTAAGTCCAGGAGAAGCAAAATGTTTTTCTATTTTATGCAAAATAAACCTTAAAACTCACTATAATCTGGTTGGTGCTGTATAGTACAAATTCCCCTTCCAGGCCGCACGGCACACAGTATAAAGCAATTTGCCACGCCTCGGAAGCCCTTACACATCTGCATGCTGATTCGTCCTGAACTTGCCTCATACCCGTACGTGCTCAGATTTTTACCCACCTTTATATAAACAGTTATGATTTGCGTATAGTGCTGTCTCTACCCCATAATAGCTCATTGAAATATCGTCGGTCATTATAGTGTTACGAATAAATATAACCCCTGTGAATAGTTATGTTATGATTTGTAAAGTTTTGTTCAAGGGCAGGGCGTGCTAAACAGATTTTCGATTAAATAATAAAATGTGTAGTTGGACAAGGTTTTATTAAATCATAATATTAAAGTACAGGGTCAAGAAAGATGAACAAGAGCATTCTTGGAAAACTACAAGTTAATTTTCGAGTAGTTCCTTCTGGTTTTTGTTGATGAGCGGTCCAAATCATTCGAATTAAGTGAATTCCTTTTTTTGTCGGAAAGTAGAAACACGGGTCGGTCACGTGAAATCGCGGTTAGTTATTTTGTAAAGCCATACAGTGGTAAAAGTAACATGTGCTTCAGCCAGCCCTGCAGCCCAACGGATAGAATATAATGCTTATGTAAGTACATATTTTTAAGCATTAATATTTAGTTTTGTGTAGTCAGCAAAGACAACTGGATTACGGAAGCAATACTAGCTGTTTTTATATTTGTTGAATAAACTATAGTTATTTGTTTTGCGCTTGTTGTTTCAATTTATTTGGTTAATGAAGACCCACGATCATTTAAAAGCGGGGGTAGTGGCTTAGATCTCTGAGAAAGGGAGATACTGCCACAAGGAAGAGTCCCTGTAGGGCAAACCCTCTTCCCGCCCTCTGAATCATCGTCAGGAAGTTAGAGTTTCTTAGGTCCATCCAGTCTGAACTTAACCTCATAGCCGTGTGTTATCTAGAGGCCAATTTAAGTACCAATTGGGCGCCTCTATATAACTCGTGGTTACCACTAAGAGTGGACCTTAGAGTCGGTCAAAAAGGTCTATTATCTCACTCTTAACAATAGTGTAGAGGTGCGACGAAAGTACCGATCCTTATGGTTCTTCTTGTTCAGAAGTGTATGTTCCTGTTTTTGTTGAGTTGATTTTAATGTAAAATTTGCCATCGTAGATTGTATGATTTTTTATAATGTGAACAGGGTAATCATTGATATACATTTTTAGAATTAATCCAGTTGAAACTCAGATCATATTAAAAAATCAGAAAAATAAAATCTTAAATGAAGATCTTCAAATGGAACACTCAATTCCTGGAGCATGCCTTTCTTGTATTATTCGGGAGGTTGGTAAACGATAAGAACGTTAACAAAAATTGCAAAATTCTGTCTTAAAGTTATAGCTGACTATGCAATTATATCTCAAATAACTGCATAATAATGAGATAGAAAATAGTTGGTAAAAGAAGCTGACGTCAAAACTGTCTAATTTTACAAAACCAAAAAAAAATATTGAACGATAACAAATTTAGTGATCTTAACTAACATTCATATTTAAGTGAGGTTTAGCGGATTGAAATATAATAGCAATATAATTGATAGTAGTTTAGAAATGTTAATAAAAAAATAAATAAAGTAAAAAGAAAATAAAGAAAAATTTAAAAATCTGAGAAATTCAGAAGAAAAAATAGGTGCATCGGCCAGGAGTAGATTATACTAGAACAAATTTCATATCATATGTAGGTTATCTTCCTTCTAAGGGATGTCAAAGGAGTGGCTGTAAGGAGAATTGAAAAGGCTAAGATAGGATGAGAATTTGAGTCTATCGACGAGAGTCAGAATTAAAGTTTATGTTCTTAATTGGTATTAATATGAAAATTATGCATGACCAAAGTCCAAGGTTCCGGGTTTGACT